AAAAAAAAGAAAGTGAACAGTTCTGTAGCAGCCAAAAATCTACATTTCAAGATGAAATACTGACTTTTATCCTTTGCTGAGCTACTTTGTAAAACCATACAATTTGATTTTCTAGACAATGAATGATAAAGTAACAAAGAATATGCTTTTGTTCCACTCTACCAATACAGAGTTGCATAAAAAAATAATCACACAATGCCCTTGGGTAAATTTGCTAGAAAATAATGATCACATTTACAGTAAATCAAGAATTCGTTACCTGATCACAATAATTTGGTGCAGAAAATACAGTAATAAATGTCATGCTCAATCTCAAAACCTTCGTCTTTTACTTCTTTAAAGGATAAAATAAAATGATGATCAAGACTTTCACTTTCTATCCAGTACCCATAATAAAAAAAAAAGCAAATAATGAGAAACTCAATTTGGGTTCATAGGAAGAAAGCTCATCACATCAACTCTAACATGTTGTGTTCCTTTTTCACGCTGGACTACTTACTGAGGACGTAGGCCACTTCTGAGAAGGTACTGCTCTCGGCCAACTCCTCAATTGGGTAGCCCCTGTATCGAAGGATCCCCTGATCCCCATCAATATAGGAAATTGATGAGCGTACAGGAGCTGTGTTCAAATAACCAGGGTCATACACCTTGAGACCCTTGTCATCCTCCCCGGTCGTTATCTGTAAAACAAAATTCAACCCAAAATGCCCAGAATTGGAATATATAAATTCAGATGCTTCTATATTAACATTGGAATATTAAATTACTGTTTTACGATGATAACACGTTTGCTGTATGGTTCAGTCTTTTCGGTTATTTCTCATTATGGAGAAGTCTGATCGATGTAGCACAACCAATTTCCACAATCCTTAGTGGATCAAATCACCTAGTCTGGGTTCAAGGAATGCTTAGTTTCTTGAAGGACGAAAATTATGGCGATATAAGTAAAGTGATATTAAACCTCCATAGGTCGTTGCCGGTGAGGCATGGATATATGAGAAATTTGCGGAACACTTAGAGGACTAGAATAGCAAAAATCATTAGATCATTACTTGGTGATGTAATTCCTCCATTCCTTCCATCCACCTCCAGCTTGGACGGGATGATAAAGCTAAGGAGGTATGGGATTTGCTTGAAACAAGGCATGCTACTTCTGATTTATCTAGTTAGTATTAATTGTGAGAACAATTACATAATTTAAAATAGGAACCTGTGAGTCTATCACTAGTTTTTATGCCAAGATAGCAGCATCCTGGGGTGTTAGAATATTAAATTAGTATGTTCACACTTTAATTGATTGTATATAAAATCTAGTTGCTTGTATATAATTATATAAATTAATTTTGTATTTACAAATATTCTGTTGTATA